ATACATGTATGAAAATGATGGGAAAGGTGATTATCGTATCAACTAGAGGGCACTCAGTAGAGCACATACCTCTGTCATGCAGCATCGATCATATTCGGCCCTCAAAAAATACAAAAATCTGTCCATCAATGGTCACTGACCATTTTTAGCAGGACAATGAGGAATAATATTATACATAAGTCCACTAAGTTTCCCCAAAATATGATCATTTTTGACTGAGTTATAGAGCAAAAATAGTATGAAAAATCAGTCTCCGTGTTAACAGATATGGATTTTTTTATTTTCGTGACCATGCTGTTACATTAACCCTTGATCAAAAACTAATAACTTCTAAGTTGGGTCATAGTTGAAATGTGTACCAACTGTTGTCCAAATCTATTCAGCCATTTTTGAGAAATCTTGCTGACAATCACACACACTCAGGGATGAAAACATAACCTTCGTCCACCCTCGGTGGTAGAGGCTGTAATGTTTTAATTACGTACCTGTATCTCTATAAAAACTATCTAACATGTTGGGATTTATTCTTTTATTAGAAATGACTTCTGGTAGGTTATATTTGAACATTAGTATTATAAAGTATTACCATAGCCATGGTCATAATGCTGGTGCAACATTAAGTCAATAATAACGTGAATACAGTGAACGGAGAGGACCATGCAGTAATGAGGCTTACAGGAAGCTTATAAACAAATTTGAACTTACAGGATTATGTTCTTGATGTAATTTGGAACATGTTATCACTCCTATATCTCACAGAAAAGTAGCTTGAAATGAAAAAGTCTTCGTGTAAGATGGGGCTCCAATCCACCTCACATAGACTGTCAAGATCTTGCTGAAACATGCTTTCACAAATTGACCAATCAACAGACCTGTCCAAAAACATTTCTTGGCCATCACAGTCTCCAGATCTCATGCTTGTTGATTTTCGGCTATGGGGTTACTTTGAATCTTTTATTGTGATGCACCGGCTACCTGGAAAGACCTGAAAGTCATACAACACTAAGAATTGCTGGACTGTTGGAATTCAGACAGCTGTGTGTCACGTTTTGTTATAAATATAACATTGGTCTGTTTGAATTCAGACAGCACCATTCAGCTGTGTTATGTCCTGTCATGGATAAAAGCAATACTAGACATGAATGTTGTTAATATGGTGAGTTTGTTAGTTTGTTGTTAAGCACAAACCTGTATAATGGGCTATCTGTGCTGTACCTACCACAGGTCTTGAAAGCTGGTTTTTAGTGTTATAAGCCTGCAGACTTACCACTGAGTCACTGGGAAGCAACATGGTGAATTTTTATGAAGTTTACTGTTATCACTTTGTGGTGATAAATATTTTTGCCATTGAAGTTGTCATTCCCATTGTCTCATTAGTCATTAATCTAGTATTATAAATCTCTGTTTATTATTTTAAGAATTATGTATGCTAGAAAAGTAGACTAAGTGACCTAATGAATTTGTGACATTACTTTATTTAAGCATTTTTAGACATTTTATTTGCATCTAATTTTAAAAGAGGTTAATAAATTTTTCAGACTTCATATGTATGTTGTTTTATCAAATATATGTATTGCCTTTCAGTTTTGCTGTCAGCTGTGAAGTTTCTGAGAGTGGGCTAGAAATCAGCTGTAACTGTAAACCTGGGTACACTGGCCCTCGCTGTGGAAGGTAAGTTTTCCAGTGTTTGATTCAGGAAAACATTCAAATGAACTTAGGTAACTGTTATAAAGTTATTTGGGTCAGTTTGTAACAAGGAGGTTAAAGATTATCATTCCAATTATGACACTTGCTATTTGCTCAGCTTTCAGATGCTTTAGATGTTCAGAAGTGCTTGCCAGAATGACTTTTTGTATTCTTCTCTTGCTCTTCAGATTTATAAAACACAGTGACCAATTCTGTGTCTTGTTTTAAATGTTTTATTATCTTTAGTTGTTACCATGTGTCTGATTCTATCTAGCCATTCAGGTATCTATGTCACCATAACTGATCCATGTCTCACTCTGAATCTGTTTGGGTTTACATGTAACAATGGATTCACTTTATCTCTTCAACTGTACATGTGTTGATCTATGTGTCTCAATCTGAATCTGTTTGGGTTTACATGTAACAATGGATTCACTCTATTTCATCAACTGTACATGTGTTTGTTG